ATACCTGTATAAAACGGGTTTCAATGAAGAATGCGAACTGCTCATATGTTAATAATTTGGTTGTTATGCTATAGCACTCTAATTCATTGATGTACTTATATCATTTGAAGTTTATCCTCAGCTGTGTTCCTTCTCGTAATTAATTTCATAAAGTAAGTACTAAATTCCCACCATAAAGAACAGAAATGAAGCAAGAAAAACATATATATTTTAAACGTTAAATGGTCTCTCAATATTTGAGTCTCATAGAAGGTCATTCATATTATTCTTTTATTTTTATTTAACTCTAAATTATAGTGATATGCTTAGAAATGCCGAGAGAAAGTGAATGTGTTATATTATAGTAAAGAAAATATAATATAAATAATCATTATTTATAATCGTAGAAACCGATTTTAAGAGATAAAACCTTAGCTTTAATAAGCATTTTTTTTCATGTATATCACCTATTTTTATGTATTAAAAAAATTGACTTAATGTATAAATCTAAGCTGTAGTTTAGAGGTTGTATCACAATATTTGAGCATAAACCAAGACCTAGCGAGTCATCGATCCTTGCTCCGCTGTGGTTCTCTTTTGAACCGGTAAGTATATGTATATATTTTTTGTTTTAATATCTAAAGAAAACAAACGAATGTTTTATAAGGTTTTAAAAAAAGAATTTTAATTAAAATTCTTACAAAGAACGGAGATTTATTTAAATAAACAAAAAAAGAGCAGATTACTGTAGGTATGGCTTATGCTGATCTATAGTGAAAACTAACGATAAAACTATAATGGGACTTTATAAAAAAAAAAAATTACTTCCATATGAGAAATGCAATAACGCTGATATGTGATATGTATTATATTTTTCTAAACCATTTTGTGTGAATCTCAATAGTTGTGAAAGTTTTAAAATAGATAAATATTTTTTTGAAAGAAAGTAATCTATATCGATATGCATACATATATATGTTTATTGAGTCTTTTGAGTCTCTATGGATATATATATATATACAGGGTGACTGGTGAATTACTATCAATATTTAAGGAGAATACTCGATACATGATTCTCATTCGAATTATGTAAAAAAATAGGTACTTAATTTTTGACCAAATTTCCGTATAAATAAATAAAGTGTGGACACGTTCCAAGTGTTCCAAATGTGGACGCGTGCGGCGGCGTGCTGATACAACACCACGCCGCCACACGCGTGTGTGTGTGTGTGTGTGTATACCTAATCTGTAGGGTGTTCACACGATGCCTAATTAATTACATAACTTTTGGTTAACTTTACTTAGAAGGTTATTAATATTTTTGTTATATTAATTTTTATTTTGTCATATACGATCGTCAAATATCACGTCCTCAAGTGTCGATAGTAATTCATCAGTCACCCTGTATATATATATATATATATATATTGAGTCTCTGGCAGTTTTTATTGTAAAAACATGTTAATATATTCTATATTAAAATCTTCAGTACGGTCTGCACTCATTTTTTAATAAGAAGTGGTTGGTTGTCATTGCACCCGGTAGTTAGTGGAAGTGAAGTCCTAGCCACGAACGCACTACCTCAGTAACAGCCTATTCATTCTAGCTCGAAGACCCTCAAATTATTGTTGGAAAGAAACAGACGTAGGTAAATTGTTCTAGACCATTGCTGTACGTATGCGAAAAGATGACGCATATAACATCTACGTACATCAACGTGCGTCAGGTCTTCTCGTCGCAAAAAGGGCAGAAGAATTATAACTTGTTATTACTCTACAAACTCTCTAAAGTGAATTATATAAAATACTTAGGGACTTAAAAGTTTAAGCCTATTCTTAAGGTTGACTCAACCGGGTTTAACCAAACTACAGTCAGCAATAACTATTTTTGCACGTCTATCCACTGAATTTTAAAAACTGAGGTGACATTTATCAGCGCCTGACCAAAAGTGACAGCAGTATTCCACATACGACCGTACCTGTGAGTTTTATTAGCAATGAAGCTAGGCTGGCGAAAGATACTGTTGTAGTTTTGACAAAGAGTTTAATTGCTCCTATTTACAATATTTCAATAATTAATAACTGAAATAATATTTCAATTGAATGTGAATTAAATTTAAAGTGTTCGGTGTATTTCATGTATACATTTTGAAACGTTGTAACCAAGATGAACGAATTCCTCTTGGAAGAGAAAAGATACTCTTGTGTTTTGGTTTGCATTGGCTGAAGTGTGACACGTAACCCGAATATTAAGAGTGCGATCTGTATAATATTCTATGAAATTATGTAAGACAACAAAGAATATCAAAGGATTATGTATAGAAAATATCTGGCAATAATAATCCATAGAAACTACCTAGTCTTTGAATTTTATAACCCTTGGTCAACATATGGTTATTTTAAAGAAAATTCTGATAAAGTCGGCTTTAGTATAAATTATCCATCTTTTTTGTAAATAATAAAATTATATACTTATTAGTCCATTCTATGATACCTCTTGTTTTAAACAATAAATATTTGATAATAAATAGAAACGAAGGAAAACACAGATTTTGTTTTTTTTTTGCTCTACTTATTAGGGATTTAAGGCTATTTTTATAGGAAAAAATCATCAGTCTTATGAAAAGTACAAATAAATCAACTTCGAATCCTTCGCTTTTGAAGGGAATTTCTGGCATAGTCATACTATTTATTTTAATGTGACCTTAACCAGTGAATAAGCTTTAGTTGGAGGTAACCTAAGGGATATTAGAAAAATATCTGATAAGTGTATATAACAATTATTTTAAGAAATATACAAACACTTCTAACGTACCTACTATTTAGTCACCTAAAGACAGAGCCGAAACCTCTTAGCATCCGATGGATTCACCGTGCAGGTGCCGGGTCCATCGCGGAACCTAAAATAAATAAATGTAACAAATGTACAAATACATTCTATAATTTAATTAAATTATCAAACATTGTATGATAATAAATTTTCGCTTTACTAATATTTTTATGATTTTTCGAGTAAATAATAACTCGAAGCTAAACGTAGACAGACTATTATAATTCATAAGTAATATAAAGGTCAGAGATCTCAGAAGACATATCGTTACAGACAGTGGCGGCTGGTGGGTAATCGAACTGGTGGTGCACTTTACAAAAATATTAAAATTAGAAAATGCAACAAAACATAACGAGATGTCAATCACGTCTCAATTCGTCATACATCGGGTGTTCTCGGTAATCTTCGGTTCGCTCGTGCGGCGCTCGAGATCCGACTCATTACTCGGTACATTTCTATGAACTATCTTTTGTTTCACGCGTCAGGCGTATTATTTCGTATTTCATACAAGATGTATCAGCAGTCCTCGTGCACTCGCCGAAGCGCACGAGATATTAGTTTAGTAAAGCGCTCCAACTTTTTGACCATAATATTAGGAAATTTCATTTTTTATACGTTTTCATATGTTTAAAAAATAAATATTAAAATGGTAATTTAAAAATAAAGATGAAGTAAAATTTTGTAATTTTTAAATCTTTTGAATTGGTGGTTCAGCGCACGAGTGCACTTAAGGTACAGCCACCACTGGTTACAGATATGAGCTAGTCTTGCAGACAGAAAAAAATTGCTTAAGTTAAATCTGTATAGCGATACGTCAAATAGGTCATAAATAACTTCGTAACATAGTGACTAAACGACTGTAAGGTTCTAAACAATTTAGTATGTTATGCAATATTTTGTAGAGGAAAACCATGTGTCCATGTCGGACGTGTTTGCCCGTAAGAATAAAGATGTAGGGTGATTTTTTGTAGTCTCCTTTCGTATGAATTATCAGCACTACTGTATTTCTTCAATATAGCAGTGTACATTTTCTAGCTGGGATACCGAATTTCGGTAAAGTATTTTTAATTATTTCTACTAATTATGTCCCTTGGGAGGATAATACCTACGAGGATTCGTTTTTGTAGCCAAATATATTTCCAGGGAGGACGACCGGGAGGCCCCTGCTCTCTGTCGTCGGCATACTGGTCACCGGCGCCGAGCCTATCTAGCCTCTGTACAGCCATAGGTAAGTGCTGGGCGACCTGATCTTGGGGGGCGTGGAAGAAGAACACCCAGGTGGTGCAGTGGGTCGGAAAACCCCACATAACCCGGTCAAGTCCCCGCTCGGCCGGGTATCTGCGAGCAGATTTCCCCTGGGAAAACAAAAATAAAAGCCATACATATTTGCAACCAAAGCCGACTCACAACATTTAATGTCAAATGTCATGATTGTTACCCATTCATCATCATCAACATCAGCCGAAAGACATCCACTGCAGGAAATAAGCCTCCCCCAAGGATCTCCACGACGACCGGTCTTGTGCCACCCGCATCCAGCTTATTCCCGTTATAGGAAACAAATTACTTACAAATCTGGAAAATAAAATAAAAAAAAAGAAGTATTATTTTAAAATAGAGGGTAGAAAATAATTTTAAAATATTAAATTGTCATGAAATTTCCGTGTGATATTTATTTATCTATTTAAACTCAATTGACAGAAGTGCTTCGTATTATAGATTTTATTTAAATAAATAAAATGAAGTACTAAGCAGCTGTATGATTTAATACTGCAGCTAAGTACTTAAAAAATAAATTAAACTGTACCATGACAATTAATTTTATAGAAATAATTTTATTACAATATATAATGTATTTAAATAAAATACGAACAATATTGTAAATTTTAATAAGATTCAATTTACCCATCTAAATTTAATAGATTTTTATTAAGCTTTGGTCTTCATGTCTGAATTTTTTTTTTTAAATGTAATCATTGTAGTACTATAGGCAATAAAGTTCAATATTTATATATATTGGGTTATATTATTATAATTTTTTATGCTATGGTTTCATTCGGATTATATTATTATGAATTAAATGTTGTCAATGTCATTGTCAAAGTCAAAAACTCTTAGTCAAGACTCAAGAGTGAAACACGTGCTTATTTGTTACTATAGCGTGATAAACATTAAGAAGAAACACCAAAATCATGGGTGTAATACAAAGAATAAAGTTAGTTTATAATTTTTTAGTTTATATACGTATTTTTGTAAACAATATTAACGTATGTACCAACATCTTTCAGGAAACCAACTACACGAAAAGGTAAAAAGGTTTTACTATCTAAAGAACCTAAAGCCATAGAAGGTCCCAAACAATGCATATTTCTTCAAGCCCGAAATCCTTCTGAACAAGCCAGAAATGTTCTTAAAGATATGTACAACTTGAAAAAACCTGATGCAGCTTATTTAAGCAGGAAAAATGACTTTGTTCCCTTTGAAGATGCTAGCGTTATTGAAAAGTAAGTTAATGATTTAATATGTGTATACTACTACCATGTATATAAAATTAAATGTGAGAAACTACTGGAGTACAAAAGTTTTAAGTTATAAATTAATCTTTGAATTGGTTCAATAATTTTCATATAAAGTATAACTTACAGGAGTACCAGTTAATAGATTTTGTATTATGTTTTCCAGGAAGTAGTATTAAAGTATTTACAGAAAAACTGTATCTTTTTCTTATGTTTACTTAATATTAAGTAAAACTTCTTTACTTAATATTAAGGGAAACCTTTTAAAATTTCATTTTCTTCAGTTTTTATATCAAGATATCAATAGAGTTTTAAAGGCAAATTCACAATAATAAGGGTGTAATTTTTGAGAAATATTATATGTTTGTATTGAGAAACTTTGAAATACTTTTACAATTTAAACATTTATAATTCATGTTTTTCCTAGCAATTTCCTAGCTTTAGCCAGGGTCTGCCCTTAAACATTTATAATTATGGTACCCTAATGTAGAAATATTAAATACTAGTTTTCCGCCCGCAGCTTCGCCCGCATGGAATTCGGTTATATCGCATTTCCAAGAGAACCTTTCAAAAGTCTGGGATAAAAACTATCCTATGTTCTTTCTCAAGGTCAACTTTATGTCTGTACCAAATTTTATTAAAATCAGTTCAGTGGTTTAGGCATGCAAAGCATATCAGACAGACAGAGTTACTTTCGCATTTATAATATTAGTAGGGATGTAGTTAAATCCAGTAACCATTTATGAATGCATTAAATTCAATCAAAATACATAATTTACATGTAAGAGTGCAATAATGAACAATAAATAAACTTATAAGTTTAATGAAAACAACTATCTTAAAATATTTTTTGCATATGAATTATTTCATATTTTTATGTTACAGTGGATATAAATAGTTACATGTGTAATTTAAACTAATGGAATTAACTTTTCTTTAATTCTTTTTTACAGATTGTGTTACAAAAAAGAGGCAGCCCTATTTGGAGTCAGCTCTCACAGCAAGAAAAGACCACACAATATAATACTTGGCAGAACCTTTAATTATAACATTTTAGATATGATTGAACTCGGAGCTGATAAATTCAAAGCTATGTCTGAATTTCATAATATGAAAGTCTTAGCGGGGACTAAACCGTGCCTGCTGTTTAACGGTCCCGCTTGGGATTTAAACCAAGATTTAAAGAGATTGAAGTCTCTCTTTACAGACTTTTTCTATAGAGAAAAAGTGAGTTTTTTATCTATGTTTAAGGGGTTCTAATATACTTATTATTATATTGAAATGCTAAAGAAATTGGAAAGTTTAATGTTAATAATTAATTTAGCTGCCTTAATACATATTTCTTATATTATATTTATGCTTTTTAAATTTATTTTCTATGAACATGAAACAATAATATGTAATTATTTTTTTTTAAACTGAAAACTCTTTACATATAAGTAGTATGGGCAGTTAACACCTAGCACTTATGTCGGTTGGAAAACAAATATATTATAATAAAACTTATGAATAGTACTATGATAATTCCATAAATTATTTAAATTTTAGGTGGAAACCATAAGACTGCAGGGATTGGAACATGTTTTGAGCTTCACTTCTACTCAAGATGGTACCATCTATGTAAGATCTTACAGAATTCTACTCAAAAAGAGTGGACAGAGGACACCAAGAATTGAATTAGAAGAAATTGGTATGACCTTACTACTAACACATATTCTTATTTTTAATGTCTTTTTTAATATCAATTACTCAAGTATTAATTAGTATTAATTTATTAAGTTGGTTAAAACTGTTATTTTCTAATATTGAAGTATTGATATAAAAATTTCTTTAATTTTAAATATGTAACTACAGGTAATGATATAATTTGTTATAGTAAAGATTTTGATATTTTGAAGATAATTAACAATTGAGTATTTGAAAAAAAAAAAAGTATTGATTTTTTTTATGTATTTTAAAACTTTATTATTAATTATATTGGATTTTTAATGCAAAAAACTTGAAATATTTTTTTTAAATTAATTATAAACAATTAAAAATTGATAAAATTCAAAAATATATCACGTGATTGTAAACGCGCCATGATTGGTCAGCATACTTGTGACGTCATAATGTTAAAGCAATTTCATAATAGTACAGTGTTTATGGCTATTATCTTTAACTTGATAAAAATATCTCAAATTTATTAGGGAAAAACGATTTGAAAAGTTTATTTCGACTATGTGTGATAAAGGATTTATAAAAGCAAAATCGGATAATATTCCTAGTGTTGATATATTTATGATAACTAATTTTTTAAAAAATGACGTTCGGTTTAATTCTGCTGAAGTTCGAGGTGATAAGGCATCAAGGTAAGTCTGTTAAAAAATAATATTCTAAATGAAAATAAGTATTTATTCTCTATTAAATATAATTAATAATTATTTCATTAAATCATTATTAATAAAATGTTATTATAACATTATAAAAAAACCAAAATAACATATATGTACTTTAAAAATTTAAATGTAGTCTGATACAGAACCTAGAATGTTATAAAATTATGAAAATATCTATTAATTGAAGTCCAATTATTAGACAAACATACATATAGATTTACTATTTAATCGCTTTGAATTATCAATTAAAATTTTTTAATGCTACGATTCTAAAGGTTATGATTTGGAGCCCAGGTAAAAAAATTAATTATTGAACTATACTTATTCGATTTATACACTTAGATAAATAATAATTAATAACAATACTATTATGAATACTTACAACGAAATGATCTTCTCAACAAAAAAAAAATGATTTTGTTTTTGAATAATCTCGATGCACTGCTTGAAACCATTTCTTTCGACGTTTTTCGTCTTGTGGAACATTTAAAAACATTTTTTCAGGAGTTGTTTTTGTAGTCTTTGTACATAATGGTACAAAACTTTTGATTATTTAACAATGCCAACAGAATTTACTAGATAAAAACTCTAAACACTGTACTAATTATTATATCTCTGTATGCTACAATGAGCAAAAACTAACATTGTGACGTCACACGCGCTCGGGTTTATTCCCGAGCTGTCGGCTTGTTTTCGGTACTGAATTTAAAATTTAATTTTTATTTTGAAATAACTTTTTAAATATTGCAAAAAAAAATAAAATAAAAATAGTTTTGTTATAAAACTTATATATGATCTTTCCATTTATCACAAAAAAAAAATTTATTCAAAAACCCAATTGATGTGACTATTTCTGATAGTGCATTTATTTTTATTGATACTTTTGACACATTTTGAAGTGAGTAACTGACATAAACAAACTCCTGAGCAAGATGAGTTTAAAAACAAGGACAATAACAAATTTTTTCCTTGGTTTTAGGTCCTTCAATAGACTTTAAGCTTCGGAGAACTAAGTTGGCATCTGATGACTTGTACAAGGAAGCATGCAAAGTACCAAGAGAACTTAAACCATTACCCAAGAAGAATATATCAACAGATGCATTTGGAACTAAGATGGGCCGAGTACACATGGGACGACAGGATATTAACAGATTACAGACAAGAAAGATGAAGGGTCTGAAGAAAAGTGCTGAGGAGAAGAAACAAATGCTATTGAAGAAGAAAATGGCCAAAAAAGAGGCAAAAAAAGCCCAACCTGTTAATTGACAGTAAATGTTATGAATAGAATATACTTTTCATTTACCTTTCATTGTAAAATTAAACTATGATGATGTATGATTAATGAAACCTTTAATACTAAGAATACTTCCTTTCCTAATACCTTTAATAATGAAACTATTCATAATATCAACTCATGTGGGACCAACACTATTGATTAATATTAAAAAGATGATTAAGGACTTGCACGACAATTTGAAAGTAATTTAAAAGTTGCTTTATATAAAGTAGATTTTTTTGATATATAGAATATTAATGCACAATATTTTGCCTTTCAAAGGGCCACTCATAGGATATGGATTATGATGTCAAGGACCATTTGATATTATGTAGGCATAAAGTTATGTGCTTTTTGACTGACTAGACACAGAAGCTTTTTAAAAGCAGTGATCAATGAAAACACTTAAAGAAGCCGATGATTATAATATAGATGGAATAGTCAATTTAAGAGCAATTTTTCGAGGCACGTATTATAAACTTAGCTTTTCTGTATCTAATTCTTCTTTATCCATGTTGTTTTAAAATTAAGCAAAGTCTTCCAACGAGCTAGGAATTCACACAGGCGTAGGACATGAGTAATAAGTCCTATAGCCAGAATTGATGAACTTATTCTGTCATTGCCTATGAAGCACCTTTGGCGTTGATGCTTCATGAAAAATTTACTGATAACTAAGACGGTTATAGATTATTAAATCGTATAGGACACTTTCGCTTCACCCCAGAATAGCTGTGGACATAATTATTAATTACTCTAAGAACACAGAAGATAGGAGGAAAACTCTTTCATAACAATGTTAGCTTCGGGCGCTATAATGTTCCCCGAACATACGCAGCTCGAAATACTGATGTGATAACTGTTTTGTTATCATTAGATCCTCATGACAATCAGAAATCTCATCTATATTATTGTATGATCCCTCACTGAAGATTCGAAACTTTTATTCATATTCAGTCCCTTACACACTTATGTTGTTGTTTTTTGATTGGTCCTACTAAATACAAAATGTTTGGCCATAAAACAATAAGAAGTACTCGAATGCTTTGTTCAAATTGGTAATTTATTTATACCCAGCTTTAGTTTGAGTGTTTATATACCTGCTAATTTAACTGTTTATTGAGTGTAGACTGTAAGTTTAACAAATCAAATAAGCTAAAATCGGTTATTACATTATGAAAATAGAAACATGTATAGAGAAAAAAAATTAGGTGAATTCCCAACCACATATTTTACATCAAATAGTGATTTATGTGAAATAAGTAGTAACGTATTTATCTAAATATAATCACCTACCACATTGACTTATTGAAATATTTAGTATACCTACTCATAAAACGGATTTTGCTGAAAAATGTTTTATTTAAAAAAGGTTCGAATTGCAGCCATATTAAACTAATTTAGCTTAAGTGACTAATCATTCAAAAATTTTATTACAAGCTACCGGTTCTAATAGATATTACTACTTTACGTATTGTAAAATTATTCAAATAACTATATCTGGACACGCATGTTCCGTATGAAATTTTCCTTATTGCCAAGAACCGGACAAAGTATTTATAATATACATATTTGTCTTGTTCGACGATCAAACTCGTAAACCGTTAGACAATCACAAATATCGTCGTAATCCTGCGAAGAATGTATTAAATGTATTTGAAAGTGATACTTCTGAGAATCTATAATTATTTTCTCAAGTAGTTTTGATAAAGGCCCCTAAATTTAAAAATTTTGCTTTTTAAAGATCAGATTCTTTTCTAAGTGATACATTTCTGTGCTTATATTAAACTTAGTGCCCCCATAAAGTTTAGGTATACAAATTATTATCAAACGGTAGGGACTGTTTTAAAATATGAAATATCATTTTTGATATCATTAAATATTAAGCTTAAATAGCCTTTAAGTTGAAAATTAAGAGGAAATAGTTGTATTAAAAAAAACGTGACCATAAAAACAAAAATTATTCATAAACATGTGATCTGTATTCTGTAGAATATTACAAAAATAATTAAATAAAATAACGTATTGAAACATGATACGTGAATAATGCCTAAGAACTAAGAAACTTAGTATATTTTGATTAATGTGTCTGACATTTATTAGCCTTGCCAGTTAATAGTAGACCAATAATAATGTTCCTTTTTTTATGTGTAATTTTTTTATCATTCTCCATTAAGCAAACACCGTCTCAAAATTAATATTCTCTTATTTTTACATTGAATAAAATATTTGTACTTTGAATTTATAACCTACATACATTACCATAAATTAATGAAGCGGTAAAAATTAAATTACCTACAAATAGGGGCTTCACTGTAACTGCGAAATCGATTGGGCCTCTAGCTCAGCATATTTTTTTAATAGTCGTGTATTTTCTAAAGATATGCTTATTCAATATTTTTGATCGAACTAACTTGCAATCGACACGATGCCTTTATTTAACAATAAGGGTTAAGACTCTAAGAGGCTTTTTGATGCAGTATTTCCGGCACTAAAATCAAAATATACACACATATTAATAATATATTTTAAGTAATTAACATACCTTGATAATGCACTATGATTAACTTTATGTTTAACGAATATATTAGTTGGTAAAAATATACCAGGAGTCTTTAAAAAGAAATCGCGATGGACATTATTCTAGTACACATCTATTTCGTGTTTTCTTCACATAGTATTTAAAATGATACTACAATTTGTTTTATAAACAAAGCGTTGACATTGGTAAAATATTCCACAATTCTAGTGTGAACGAATTATGAAGCCAAGGTATAATTAAAAAAAGAAAAACCTATAGATAAAACGATAGAATTTTCCCCTTACTATATAAAACCTTCTTTATTTTCAAATTAAAAAATATTTATAACTATCACTATCAGTAAAAAAAATATATATAAAATAATTTCATTATACTAAAGTCTGTTCAAGCGACATACAAAATACAATGGAAACTTGGTAATACCTATTTGAATATCTCATAAAAAATAGACTGTTTGCGGTTTTTGTTAAGACCAATTCTAGGAGAAAATATTTAAATAAATTAAATCATTTTTTCCTTGACTAATTATACTCTATAAACCTACTCAAATCCTTACATTGTAACTGTCAAAGTTTTCCTTCCGCGAGGTACCTACTTGTGATTCTTAACTATTTGAATAGAAAAAAATTAAACCAATCCATTTCAAATTATATACAATTAGTTTAAACCACATTAATTTAGGCTAAGTGAGCTAGATACATAATCTCCATGTTCATGTAGGGCCCAAGGCTGAGTCTCACACACCCTCCGGCCCCACCAAGACCGGCTGGATGGCTCGCGAATGAGTTTCCCAGCGTCAAAAAAGGGTAACTTACTAAAGTAGCATAGGTTTAAATACTGGCGAAATGTAAGTCTACTGTTCTCTTTTTAAAGATTTTTTTCTATATATAAACTTCTCATAAGGCAGTAATAGGCAGTAAGGCAGCCTTTTGTGTGTCACGGTATTTAATTTTTTTTTCGTTAAATCATTTCTGTTAATTGTGTATTCAAAAAAGTGTGAATTAAGATACTAAAAAACGTGTGAGGTCCATGTTTTTAATAGCTAATAGAATTTTTTGTCCAATAAAAACATTGAATACTAGACATTTATATACTTAATATTAAAATTTGCTTTTGTATACAGTAATTTTGTTAGCATCATGTATAAATGAAATTATAAGTAGGTACCCAAGTTTGGTTGAATATTTATTTAATGAAAAGGACGCAGGGAAACCAGACGGTAAAAATAACATTGAAAACATTGCTTTTGCATAATTGTATAATAATGTTTGTGTTTCATCCACGTTCTTTCGTGATTGTATTACCATTCAGAGTATTTAAATTTTATTTATTGTATTGTTAAATTATGCATGATGCATTTAGTTAGATTTGAACATAAGTCATCTTACCCTTATAGATTTAATATTTATATAAGAAATAATTAATAGGTTTTAAATAATTCATAATGATTTCGAACAATAACAAACAAATAACATTGATGCCCAACTGCGTAATAAGATTATTGATATGGGTAAGACGTGATAGACATTAGCTAGAGAAAATACTATTTAATATAATCAGAAAGCTAAAGGAAAGAAATATTATTTAACTTTATTAAACGCAAAATCCGAATCGTGGTTTAACGCATTTAATGTAATATGTATTATTGAGTTTAAAGGGCTTTCAAAATGAGAGTCGTTTGTATCGATTTTTCCAAATCGGTCAAATCATATTCTATTTTCCAGTGAAAATTAAATTATATTTATATACATACACGATTATGCTCTATTTCCGATTTGTCTTCGCTTATGTATGAATATTCGTAATTTTTTTAATGTTAAATGAATTGACATCTATCTTGTAATGGCAAAAAAATGTCTAGATGACGCTTAACACTTGTGTGTAACCAGTGTAACCACATGCAACCTATTTATAATAATTATTTCTCATAATTCATATCTAGCTTATATTGCCGTGTAATAGATATCTGTTAAAGACGAGAATTGATGAATACCTGTCTATAAATTGCAAGTAATTATTTTTGTTATGATAGCAATATCACGTTTATTGAATAAAATAGTTAACAGAAGAATAAGAATTTCTTAAGGAGCCCCTATATGATAAACTGTAAACGACAACAATAACAAAATGTTTCATCAATTAAAACATTTCCGTGTTCGATTATTTTAAAGTTATGCGTAGAATGCAACAAAAAATAAATGTTATTCAACTTAACAGTTTAGAACGTAATAAGATGTGAGATATTTTTCTTTATTTTTTTTTAAATACTATTTCCTCTATTCATAATATGAGCATGGGAACTCTATATAAGTAATTAGAAAGACTCACACGAATATAGACATTTCTATAAATTAATTGAAGTTCGAGTCACTGAATACAAAAGTTGTTATAAAGAGATTTGCTCTGTTTGGTCAGCTACGTAATTGTGTAGTGTTAAATATTTGTTTGTTA